GAAGCTTCCTGAGTTTAACCTGTGTAAGGGCATAACGACATGATGTAGCAGAACTACTCAGTTGAACCTAGGTTATTCTAACACCATGACTCATGCTCTTAGCTACAGTTGTGGTAAGTTGGGGTGTTGTGTGTGCATTTGACCGAGTGAAATAGGTTATCATGGATGTGTAAAAGAATTGCTGGTTGGCATAGAGTGCAGGTATGTGGTAGCTCCAGTATGCACAGTTGTGTTGACTGCCTCTATCAGCAGTTATTAGCCCAAATAAATATTGATTATGTAAAGAAGAATAAATGATCATGTAAAGGAGAATCAGGGTGGGAATTTTTTAGTTTCCGATGGGATGGATAAGAAAATTAAGGCATAGCCTAACAAAAATTTCTGAATTCTAAGATTAAAGGGAAACTACCTATAAGATTTTTTTTCTGCCACAAAAGGAAAATTTATTTCAAGTCTTCTGTTTCACCTTTAACATCCATTAGAAATAAAAATTGAATGCCATAATACATTTTTTTTAACAGAAAAAATAAAAATGAGTGCTGGTGAGAATGTGGAGAAAGTGAAACCCTTGTTCACCAATGCATTTGTAAGGATTGTAAAATGGTGCAACCACTATGGAAACCAATACGCAGGTTCCTCAGACTATTAATGATAAAGCCACCATGTGATCCAGTGACTACCTATAAGATTTTTAAGAAAATAAACAGAAAAGGGAAAAAAGAATCAGACTGGCATTGGACTTCTATTAAACCAAAAGCTAGAAGAGGGTAGAATAGCATCTGCAGACTATTAGTGAAACAAGTAAAAAAGATTGCAACCATGAGTTCTATATCCAGTTCTTTATCTGTCAGAGAAAGTAAAAGGTATTTGAGAATAACAATAAAACGATATCCCCTATGCGAAGAAAATACTTGAGAGAAGAGAAAATAGCAAAGGAATAGTAGAGGTCAAGATGGAAAAAATAAACAAGTTAGCAATGAAACCTGGACACAAGTCTGTAAGAATAAGGAGAGGCTCAGAAAAGGTATAATCTAAGTGTAAAATAACTTGAAACAGAAAATGCATAATACAAGATAATTTTAGTATGACTGCAGAACAAAACATACTCAACTATTTTAGCAAAATTTAGTATTAATTGGGAAGAGGAGGGAGGGAAGTGAAAATATTTTGAAAGTCTTGTTGATGTGGGTGAGGAGTAGAGTATTTTCATGGGAGAAAGACATTCTTTTAAGTTTCCATCTTAAATGACTAAGCATTTAACAGGATGAAGAAGAGCATAATAAAGTAATGAATGACACATAGTTATGCAGAAGATAATAGTTATAAATCTAAATGCACCAACCAACATGGCAACTAAAATGTGAAATAAAGATTGGAAATGTAAGAACTCAAAACACAACATAGTACAAAAAAGACCTTTTTTTTATTATTAAATGATAGCTATATACATTAATGCAAACATGGAGTACAGTGTAGTGTTTTCATATCCAATTTGAAATATTTTCATCAAACTGGTTAATATAGACTTTGTGTCATTTACTTACTTATTGTGTTAAAACATTTATACTCTAGTTCTAGAATAAAAAGACCATTTTTGTTAATGGTCCATGGACATACAAAAAAAAGTCTATTCTTTGAAGGATGAGTATTTATGTTCAAGTTTACTGATTAAATTCCTGTCTCATATTATTACATTATTTTTTCACCAGTGTATCCTCTTAGTTATAAAAAATTATAATCTTTAGTTCTTTCTTAATTAAAAAAAAAAAACACACACACAGAACTGAGTAATTAACTAAATCTCTCTTCTTGTACAATCCAGAGGAATATTTTTATCAACTATTTACTAATGCAAGTTTTTTAGTAGCTCTAGAAACATTTTTAAGAAGGAGGGAATCCTACCACATTCCATTTTTTAAGTGTAAATGCTTTGTTTTTAAGAGGTGAAATGTTTGCTGGTTGTTTATGTTTTGGTACAACCAGAAAATAGTGCAGGATGTTGAATTCTGGGAGGACTTGACTGTCATGGGTGTCAGCTTAACAGTCCATAGATGGGGGTTTAATTTTTATATCCTACAATAACAAAGTCCCAGTCTTACATTTAATGTCTTAAACATTTTTAATTACTTCTATTCCCATGTTGTTTTTTAGTAGGTTTGTTTCCTAAAGAAAACTACTCCTGTAATCATGGCTCTCCCTGTCAGAACTGTGTATACTCTAACATCTTTGGTGGTGGGAGTCCTGTTTTCCTAATAACTTTGTTAATGTGCTGTGAAGGACTGAAAATTTGAATATGTAGCATATATGGTAATAAGTTGGGAATTGGTGGGATTTATGTAACAGCTTATCAACATTTGAAGATACTGGTAATTGAGAATCCTCTTAAGGAAAATTTACCTCTAGATTTTAAGCTGGAAAGTCATCAGAGTAACTGTTTAAAAAAGAATTACAATAAATGGCTTTTTAGATTTGGGGTAAAAATGTTAAGAATTATGTACAAATTGAAATGTCTGCACTCATGCTCCACACAACCAATAAAATCTCAGTTAGAAACAACAACAAAAAAAGAAATCCAAACAAAAAATAATTTACCAAAAACAACTAGGGAAGAAGAATTAAGATGAAAGCTCAGATCATGGACCTAGAACGTCAAAATGGTGCCTCCCAGTTTCTGCACTGATGTTTGTGCAGGCTCAAATATCAGGTGTGTTAGGGATCAGTATGTATGGAAATGGGGGTAGCATATAATTATGAAGGTAGTTTTGCCCTGGTCATTTCTCCGCATTCCCAAAATTTATCAACCTTGAAACTTTCACTCTCAAAAAAATGCTCCCAAAAGGAGCTTGTTGAATCTTTGGAATGTTAAATCACTGAGAAAAATCTCATTTATAAAGGAGTAGAGAGACCTCAAAACATAACTGGATTATAGTTTTATGAAGTAATGGAAAGTATAGAAGAACAGATACATGCAAATCCATTTATTGAATTTTTCTTTATTCATCATACCTTGAGAAGACTCATTGTCAACAGCACTTCTTAACTTTTGAGGCTTGATAAAATAAGACGTGTTGTAATCCCAAAGTAGAAGTTTTATCATTTGATATTATGAATTTGGGTGATCTTTATGTTGCTACTGGTATTTACTTTATGTGTTAGGAAAAGACCTTTGCCTCTCAGCACTGTCACATTAGGGATCACCCGTCTGCTGTTAGTTTTGACTCAGTTTGAGTTGGTGGCAAGAGTATCACTGAACTGCTTGATTTGTAGAAAGATAAGTAGAAGGCAGATGGGGTTTGTGAGATTGTAATTATTTTTCTGAAAATTTATAAAACCAGTCTGTGGTAAGAGAACAAACAATATCTCCCTTTAGGCTTTTACTGCTAATCAGAAGGTGGCGTGTATGTGTGTTTATAGAAGAAATGCAAATTTATTTAGCATCCTATCTTGGTTTGGGGAGGGTTTCTTGTTTGTTTTTAAGACAGAGTGTCATTTTGTCGCTCTCAATGGAGTGCTATGGAGTCATAGCTCAAAGCAACCTCAAACTACTGAGCTGAAGTGATCCTCTTGCCTCAGCCTCCCAAGTAGCTGGGACTATAGGCGCCCATCTCAGTGCTAGCTATTTTTAAAGATGAGGGGCTCACTATGGCTCAGGCTGCTTTTAAACCATGAGCTCAAGCAGTCCACCTGCCTCAGCCTCTCAGTGTGCTGGGATTGCATGTGAGAGCCACCTCGCCTACCCTGGATCCTATCTTGATTTTGATAAAATATGGGAAGGGGGAAGGGGGGACTTAAACCCTAGAAAACATCTCCTATAATAGTTTTAGCCTATGTAGTATATATGTAATATACATATATTTACATTGGATTTGGACCTGTTTTTTTAATTTTAATGAAACCAAGAACTAGTAGATACAATGGAACCAAATTTGTTTTAAACTCTAATTGTCATTCTGCTACTTGTGATATTTTTTAGTTGTATCTGGTAGAGGGTTACCATATAGAAGAACCTGACAAACTCCACAAATTCTGTAGTTAATGCCCAAAGATAAAATTGCATACTTTCCTTTGTATGTAATTTTACCTATTTTTCTAGTTTATAATGGAGCTAAGCTTTCTTCTGATACAGTAATCTCAATAATTTTCTTTTCTTTTAACGGAAGAGCTGGGTAATCATTTTATTTTACTGTTCATTTTCTTTTGGTATGATTTGTCTAAAAAGAGGGAACATTTATTATCTTGAAAGCAAAGAATTACAATGGCATTGTTTTCACTGCTGCTATAATTCTGTTGATGAATATCTGTAAGCTTTTGCTTTCATCCACCTAATCCTGAAATCAAATCATACTAACTATTGGACTGAGCTTGATTTCAAATCTCTGTAAAATGCATGTGACAGATATATCTGCCTTTGACCTTCCTTACCTATTTACCTTAATTATTATACATCAGCTTTTTCAAAAATGCCTCTTAGGTATGTGTATGTTCTTATTCTCAAAAATTTTTCAAACAACCTGATGTTCTCTGACATTTTTGAGGTTGCAAGGAATTATTTTTACTTACCATCTATTTCCCTTTTTTACATAGTTTTGAGATTTTTTTTTTTTTTTTTTTTTTTGAGACAGAGTCTTATTCAGTTGCCCTGGGTAGAGCGCCATAACATCATAGCTCATAACAACCTCTAGCTCTTGGGCTCAAATGATGCTTTTACCTCAGCCTCCCAAGTAGCTGGGACTATAGGTGCCCACCACAACGCCTGGCTAGTTTTTCTACTTTTTGTAGAGATGGGGGTCTCCGTTTGCTCAGGCTGATCTTGAACTCCTGAACTCAGGCAATCCATCAGCCTTAGCCTTCTAGAGTGCTGGGATCACAAGCATGAGTCCCCTCACCCAGCCTGGTATCGTGAATTTTCTTAAAAATGTATTTGTTAGTTTGGGGTTTTAAAAAGAGAAGTTGAAATCTGATCATGATTTTGTGTTTGTTTTCTTTGTATCCATTTATAGGATGAATATAAGCCAGAAAAGGCCCTGTCTGAAGAGGACTTGAAAAACGCCGTGAGCGTGCACCATGCGCTGGCATCCAAGGCCACGGACTACGAGAAGAAGCCAAATGTGTTCAAACTTAAAACTGCTGACTGGAGAGTCTTGCTTTTTCAAACTCAGTATGTTTTGTTGGTTTGGTTTTTACATTGTATTGTTTTTTTATCTCCCTCAGCACCACTTAAGGAATAGGAACAAGCTCTGCAGGGGAAATTTTTTGAGTTAGAGTCAAAGTCATTAACTGGTTACATTAGAGAGAAAACTGCCAAAGAGACTAAAATAAAGTAGATCCCCAGGGTCCAGATTTTTCAGCTGCTACAAAGTAGCCCTGCGACTCTTGGTCAGCCACTCACCATCTCTAATCTCCGTATCCTCATCAATATAAAATAAGGATTTTAGTAGGCAAGGTCTTTAACAGCAAGAGTGAAATTGACCTGCATTCAAATCACCATTTCCCTAGCTCTTTCTGCTAGCACATAATTTAACCTCTTTGAACATTAGCTTGTCACTGGTATAGATAACCATGTTTATCTTGGCAGCGCCCGTTGCTCGGTGGTTAGCCACATGCTTCCGGGGCTGGTGGGTTCAAACCTGGCCTGGGCCTACTAAATGAAAAAACAAAAAAATAGCCGGGCATTGTGCCAGGCACCTGTAGTCTCAGCTACTTGGGAAGCTGAGGCATGAGAATTGCTGAAGCCCAAGAGTTTGAAGTTGCTGTGAGCTGTGACCCCACAGCGCTGTACTGAAGACAACAAAGTGAGACTTTGTCTCAGGAAAAAAAAAATGTTTATCTCATAGGGTTCTGGGAGGATTAAATGAGATAAGTGTATGCGATACTAACACAGTGCCTGGCACATAGAAACTGTTCAGTAAATGTAAATTTCTGCTTTATTCTCTCATTTCCTTCTGAGGTCTCATAGTCTGTGATTCTACAACAGGGAAAACAAAACCTTACTGTGAGCAAGGAAATGGGATGGATTGCCAGTTTAATGAGGGGTCCAGTGACAGGCTGCAAATTAGAATTGGAACATGCCACGTGGAGAATTCTGGATTTGTGAATGGGGAAAACTGGACTTTTTTAGCACTGATCCTTTAGAGCAGGAATTTTGACAGAGGTCACACAGCAGCAGCGTCTGGCAGACAGTGTCAGTCATCGCTTTGTAATCAGAATCACCCCCAACATGTCAGTATCAGCTGACCCCAGTGGACCCTAGAATTAAAATTTGACATCAAGGTAATGAAAACAATACCTGCATGCTTGTTGATCAGAGCACTGTAATGTCAAGAAACAAGAAATGCAAACAAGAGCAGGTACTTTCTTTCTTTTTTTTTTTTTTTTGGCAATCTTATTGAGATATACTTTGCATATCATAAAATTTCACCAATTTGAAATGTACATTTCAATGGGTTTGCTTGTTTGGCAAATTGACAATGATGCAGCCATCACCACACTCTGGTGCTGGAGCACTGCCATCACTGCAGAGACAGGACCCGTGCCCACTCTGCAGTCACTGCCAGGCTCAGCCCCACACACTAATCTCCATTCTGTCTCCATGGAATCACCTTTTCTGGACAGTTCATCCACGCAGACTCATGTGTTATGTGATCTTTTGTGTCTGGCTTATTTTGCTTAGCACAAGGCTTTGGAGGACCACCCAAGTTGAGCACACGTCAGTGCTTCTCCCCGTTATTCCTGACTGTTGGGGTTGTGTGGATTGGCCACATTTTGTTCATCCCTTTGCTACTTGATGGATGGACATTCAGATCGTTTCCCATTTTTGACTCTTAGGAATAATGGTGCTATGAACATTGACATACAAATTTCATGTAGTTCCATGACTGTATTTCTCTTAGATCCCTACTTAGGAGTAGAATTGCTGCATTGTATGATAACTTCATAGTTCACTTTTGAAGACACTGTCGAACTGTTTGCCAAAGTGGATATATTCTTTTATATTTACTCTTATCAATATATGCTTCTGTTGAATTCTAAAATCAAATGGAATGATTAAAAGAGATGAGTTAATTTTATAATTAATTTTTGGCCTAGCCTTGTACTAAACAGTAAGTCAGGGTTTAATAAACAAATATTTATTGTCAAATGGTTTCTCCTTTTTCCCGTCTATATCCTAGAAGGATAATCATAATCTTATGCAGTGGTGATAATAGTCTCCACAGCCTTGTTATTAGTCATTGTTCAAAACGTTAGTCTCCAGTGAAGTTTTGCCAAGGATTAAATATGCCAAGAAGAAGGAATTATTTTCATGGGCCATTTTAAATCAGTCATGAGATATGAGTATAATATGATACACTTAGATCTAGAAATATCCTAATATCAATATGTCTGTTTCTCATAGGAGCCCAGAGGAAATGCAAGGGTGGATAAACAAAATTAACTGTGTTGCAGCCGTATTTTCTGCACCACCATTTCCAGCAGCCATTGGCTCTCAGAAGAAGTTTAGCCGTCCACTTTTGCCTGCCACTACAACAAAATTGTCTCAGGTAAGTCATTTGGACGGTGCTTTGACCCTAGAAGTACCCTTGTGTACTTCATAAGACATTCTTACTGGTATTTGTATTTGAATAGTACTCTGTATTTGGAGGGTAGATGAGAGAACCTGGCCCTGTCAGGGGCATATTGTTCAAACGGGACAGAAATGCCATGTGTTGGATTTCACACACCATAGAAGAAATTGACACAATTGAGTCATGGTAGGTATGACACAGTCTTTAATTTTGTTTCTAAAATTGATTAGTTTACTAATTAATTCATCATAATTGCCAGGTTCCTTTTCTTTCTTTTTTTTTTTTTCCTATCTTTTTCTTTACTAAGAGCGCCTCATTTTTAAATGACTGGTGAATGTTAGGGTGATAGCCTGACTTGGTAGCAAGCTTTTCATTCATTCATTCATTTGTTGATTTATTTTATTGAGCACTTATATGAGGAATATAAAAATATTTTGGGGGATCCACACAGTACAGTGGGGAGGGCCTTCCCATCCCCGCAGGGCAGAGCTGAATGGGACATTTGAGTTTTCTAAGCTAATCAAGGTAAAGTGCACGTGAACTCTATGTCAGATGTATTTACACAAACATTCTTCGGTTAGCAGTTTAATCTTGCTAAAAAAAATACTTTATCTTGCCCCTCTCCACTTGAAACTGTTCTGTGGGCCAACTGTGGTGGCTCACGCCTATAATCTTAGTACTCTGGGAGGCTAAGGTGGGTGGATTGCTTGACCTCAGAAGTTCAAGGCCACCCTGAGCAAGAGCAAGACTCTGTCTCTACTAAAAATAGAAAAACTAGCCAGGTGTGGTGGCATGTGCCTGTAGTCCCAGCTATTTGAGAGGTTGAGGCAAGAGGATAGATCACCTGAGCCCCGGAGTTTGAGGTTGCTGTGAGCTATGATGCCATAGCATAGAGTGAGACTCCATCTCCAAAAAAGAAAAAAAAAAAGCTATTCTAAGGACATTCCCTATAAGCCATATTTGCTGATTTTGTCTGGTGCCCCAGCAATTTCCCCATTGCCATTGACTAGTTAAAGCTTTTGGAAGCTGTTTTGTTTTTGTTTTATTAGATCAATTTCTTTTTTTGTTATAGCATCAATACACACAGTAATTCTGTGAACATATTAAAAAACATTGAATTATCCACTTTAAAATTTTATTTCAGAATATTACAGGGGTACAAAAACTTTGATTACATAAATTGCTTTTGTGTTATCTGAGTCAAAGCGAAGTGTGTCCATCACCCAGGCAGGAAACACTGTACCGTACCTCTTAGGTGTGAATTTACCCATCCCCTCCTCCCTACAATGTGGGAACAGCCTGAGTGCCCATCAGCACATGAGGAGGTTAACAAAATGTCTTATACGCATACTAGAGAGGTTACTTTGATATCTTTGTGAATCTCTTATTGCTGCAATAACAGAAGTAGTTTTATCTGGACTATGATGCACCAAGTATAGGTATTAAGTAGCTCCCACACACACCTCTAATATCATGATTGTTGTGCATTTATTTAATAAATGTGTGTCATGTGCTTGCTGCACATCACGGACTGTTTTAGGCCCTGGGGCTAAAAGACAAATGAAACCCAGAAGGATGAATCCAGAGCACTGTAGGGGCACAGGAAGGGACCTTGCCTGGCGTTGGAGGTGAAGGAGCAGATGTGATATCTAGCAGGAAGCTTGAAGGGCAAGAAGCAAAGAGGTGAGGTGTAGGATGAGGTAAGGGAATGATTCAGCAAAGGAACAGAGGCCTGGGGAGAGAGCACCAGGTGCAGGACCCACACTGCCTGTGACCTCAGCGTGCTGAGAAGCAGCAGAAAATGCACCTCTCCAGAGGGGAGCAGAGGCTGAGTTACAAAAGGCCTCATTTGGCATGTGGAGGATTTGGGGTGCTTCCGTGGTTCCCAGCATCCTCCAGATAATTATTTGTAGCAGGAGAATAATGTGATCAGATTGATGCTGTAAAAATTTTTCTCACTGTAGTATTAGGGAAACGGGTAGAAGTTGGTACTAAAAGCAGAAAGGCCTATTTTAAAAGAAGTTTCAGCAACCCAGAGGAGAATTAACTTAGTTGTAGAAGAAATGGATAGGATGAAAATACCGCAGAGATCTTGAGAGTGTGGGATGGATGGTTCTAGCTGTTTGCTGACGTGGAGGGAGGAGGGCTGTCACTGCAGCTGGGGCAGCTGGGTTCTGTGGTGTGCCTCACTGTACCGTCTCCTGGTTTTCCCCCATTGCTTCTTTTCCTAGTCCTTTCTGAAGCCTTTTCTTTTTTCTTACTCCAAATGTTGCAGTAAGTAGGGCCCAGAAACAGACTAAGACACGTGAGAAGCAAAAGCAAAATTTGAAATAAATCACCAAAAAGGGAGAACTGCATGCCAAGTAAAGGGGGCAAAGCTAGATGAAAGTAAGACAAGAAGTACCTGTCAGATTAAGTGGCTGAAAGGTCACTGGATAATCCTGGCAAGAGTAGTTCCAATGGAATGAAACTGCTATCTCTGATATCATGATTATCAGAGAGAACAGGAATTAGGTTGATCTTCCTTGATAAGGGAATGGAAGGTACTAAGTTGTAAAACACAAAAAGACTAGTAGGAAGAAAAGAGGAGATGTGTTTCAGGAAAGATTTTTTTTGTTCTGTTTTGTTTTTTAATTCACAATTATTATTAACACGCAATTATTACTGGATGCTTACTGTGTACACATTACTATCCCTATGCAGTTAATACATTATCAAGCATGCTGTTAAGAGTAGAAAGGGCCAAGCCAGATCAGCTTAGAGGACAGCATGGCATTTTAATTTTTAAGGACAATAAATACTCTGAGACTTTCAGAGAAAGGGAAAGCTTTTATTGGTGGCCAGAAAGTACACTGGCTGACTTCTCCACCTCCCCAGCTCAAATATAAACTATTTAAGCAAATGCATTTCCCCGTATTAAATTTGGGGATTTAACACACACAATATATCACATAAACAGTAAAGAGCGTATATCCCATAATGGCAAACCTCATTGTACAAGGTAAGGGGAGGGGAAGAAAAATCAAACTAAAAGCAAAAAATAACTTCAAAAATTGAGTTTTGAGCCAGGCATGGTGGTGTGTACCTGTAATTCCACTACTTTGGGAGGCGGAGGCAGGAGGATCACTAGAGCCCAGGAGTTCAAAGCTGCAGTGAGCTATGATCATGCTACTGTACTCCAGCCTGGGCGACAAAAGGAAACCTCATCTCTTAAAAAGAAGAAAAAAAAGAGTTGTGTTTTATTAATTTTACTAGACTTCCCACTTGCTATTTTTCGATACATAATGTCTCACATTCACTTCTATAAAAGATCCAAGGGAGAAGGTGAGTTGAACTAAAGATGGACGTTAATAAGTATGTCGTTCTCAGAAGAGTTACATAGCTTAAAGCAACATGATGACTTTTCTTCCCTCACTGTGGAATCTGCAGTTCTGTTTGCTTTCTGCTTTGAAAAGTGTCCTGCTTTCCTATTTATGTATGGCCAATACACTAATAAGACACATACACGTGAAAATGAATGGGTTTATCTGTTTGTGTGGGGTTTTTTAGAAGTTTTCTTTATATATTTGCTATATCAATTCGATTTAGTGACAACTGATAGTAACTGTCATTTATCAATAACAATATAGTGGAGATTTTCTGTATTTTTTTTCCTCTTAAAATTAAGCATTATGACTAGTTTAGCTATGAAATCACTTCGAAGTCGGATTGAGTATAGAAATTTTAAGTCTTTTAAGTCTTACCCAAGAAATCTATTTCCCAGAGAAGTTTAAACACTGTTTTTTATCATTTACAGATGTATTTAAAGTAGTTGCTCGTCCATGTTTGTGTGTTTTTACCAGAATAGGCAAGCAAGCACCTTTATCAAGGCAGATAAGAATCTTATCTGGGAACTAAAAATAGAATGCATTTTTTTTTATATTTTTCTTTGTTTGGGACATAAAATCCACAGAGATGGAAAAACTGTATATTTAGTATGATCAAACCGATAGATTAAAGATTTTAGACAAGAAAACAACCAAAAAGAAGCATCCTCCACTGTTCCCTAAAACAAGATGACCATGCTATGTCAAGAATTTAACCACCTTGGAAAGGACTAAGATGATTTCCCCTTTCAGTTACAAACACTGACTCTTTGTAGGCCTCAGTTTCCTGTCCAGAAAATGAGAAGATGGTTCTGAAATGTCTTTAAAGGCTGGGTGTGGTGGCTGTAAGCCCGACACTCTGGGAGGACAAGGTGGGTGGATTGCCTGAGTTCAGGAATTCAAGACCAGCCTGAGCAAGAGCAAGACCCCATCTCTGAAAAACATAGCTGAGTGTTGTGGCAGGTACCTGTAGTCCCAGCTACTCCAGAGGCTGAAGCAAGATGATCAATAGCTTGAGCCCAAGAGTTTGTGATTGTTTTGAGCTATGATGCTATAGCACTCTACCATGAGTAGAGTGAGACTGTAAATAAATAAATAAAAATAAAATACAATCTCTTTAAGGGCTTTTCTATCACCAACTGTGTATTATTTCTTTGCCCAGGTCATGATGTTTATTTCTTCAAAAGATTTGTACCCTTGAGAAACAAACATGTAAAGTTAAACATGTGAGAGAGAATAGGCTATAAAGATGGAGAGAAGAGTCAGGTGTTTGCTGTATCCTTGACTTCAGATAAAGGCTTTGGGGGGGATATCTGCACTGGAGTCATAGTGCACCCCCAGAAAACCCTGGAATATGTATCCCCAGCAGCAGTAACCATAGCAAGGTTAAGGGCATATTTAACCTTGGCACCATTGACATTTTGGTCTACATAATGCTTTGTTGCAAGTGGATATCCTGTGAATTGTAGGATCCTTTGCAGCACGCTCAGCCTCTACTTAGTAGAAGCCAATAGCATCACCCCATTTGTAACAACCAAGAATGTCTCCAGACATTGCCAAATGTCTGCTGAAAGCAAAATCTATCCCACACCCACTGAGAACCATTGTCTA